TAACAGTAACATGACTGATTAATTTACCGAAAATTTAACACGACTGAGGAGGAGTTCAATTTAAATAAAACAAGGGTTCAAAAAGGGCTTTTGCTCCTCCATTGCCTAAAAGATGGGTACGAGTATAAGAATTGCAATGACGGGTTTCTATTGGAGATTCCTATAAAAAGAGGACACTTCTCTGTTTCGGTAGTTGGTAAATAGTGGTAGTACAGGCATGAAAAGCATGATTGCTATAAGTTGTCTCTGTTTAAATAAATGTTTGATTTTATAAATTCTTTTACATGTTGAAATTTTTCAAGGATCACATTTTTATAGTGAAATATGTTAAAATTATTAGTGGGCTCATATTAATTAGTCAATTTTCTCAATTTTTTTATTGGTATTTTTTGTGTTGTACGGTGCCTTTTTGGTATGGACAATTGTTTGCGAATTTTTTCTGAGTTATATAGTGTCTTCAGACACGGACAATTACTAGTCTATATATTAAAGTAGTTAGATTTATTTGTCTTCAGCTTTTCGTAGTTCAAATTACTTGATGATTATTAATCCGAGGGTTCTCATGTCAAATTTTTCTAAGACTCCTATCTCTCATCTAACTCTCTCTCCCTATCTACTACTAACTGATACAACTCTCATTTCCTAACTCTAAGACTCATTTCTCTCATCTAACTCTATCTCCCTATCCCATAATACAATTTTATCTCTCTATAATACAATTTTATCTCTCTATCTCATACTAACTGATACAACTCTCTCTCCCTAACTCTAACAGTCATATTGCTCATCTACTATATGCAAACATATAGTTCTCAAAATAATATAAAAAAAAAACCCAAGCTAATAAAAAATAAGTGATATCAATTGCACCAAAAAAATAACAAATGACCAATAAAAACAAAACAATTCCCCCCAAAAACAAAAACTCAAAGCCTAAGCTAATCACCAATTAAAAAAAAAGTGAACAATAAAAACAAAACAATTCTCACAAAAAACAAAAACACAAAGTCCAAGCTAATCACCGATAAAAAAAAAAGTGATACCAACTTTTCTACGCAAACAAAAAGTATAAAATAAAAAAATAACAAGTGACCAATAAAAACAAAACAATTGAAACCAATTGCAGTAGTAGAAAAAAATTCAAAATCAATCTAATCATCATCACCACTTCACACAAACAAAAATATAAATATACAATGCATAAATAAGATCTTCGAGCTATTGTTCATACCAAAAATAAATCACTACTAACGGCACCAAAAAAAAAAAAAAAAAAATTCAAAGTCAAGTCAATTACCAATAAAAAAAATACATTAAACCAATTGCACCAAATCTTAGTGGTGTATGCTTTGGCAAGAGTTTATTGGTTTTAATGTTTAATGTTCGTGTTGCTTTGGTTGTAGATGCATTGACATTAACTGATTGTTGTTAAGTGTCATATGGTACAACTATATTGTTTATATCTTAATTTTGGTTGATTTTATTACATTTCTCAATTTACGATTGTAAATTTGATTTCATCCTTTCGAAAGCTGGTGAAATTTCAAATAGCAAAATTTATTTTTTTGACAATATTTGTGAACTTATTTTTATTATATAGATGGTTGCATTTGTAGGCAATTTTTTGTTTGAGATATTTATTACATGGGTGGATTGAGTTTGTAATTATCTTCTGTTATTGAATTGATTGATGGTAATGGTGACGAATACATGATTCTTATAGATTTTATTGATTTCATTCATTACTTAAAGATTGTAAATTTGATTTGGTTCTGTTAGTTTTTTTTTTCCTGAGGTAATTGTATATGTGGTGTTGCTTTTGGGAGTTTTTTTTCATTTTTATGACAGTTACAATAATGTGGGGGCAAGTCATTTTAAAAGAATAATTGGTATGAATGTTTTCAGATCAACTTTTTTTTTTTTTAATTTGGACAATTATTTGCAATTTGTTTTTGTTTATTACATAGTGTCTTTAAATATGGGTAATTACTAGTCTATATAATAAAGTAGATAGAATTTTTTGTCTTTAACTTTTCGTGGCTCAGATTGCTTGATGATTATTGATCCGACGTTTCTTATGTCAAATCTTTCTAAGACTCCTATCTCTTATCTAACTTTCTTTCTATCTCATACTAACTGATACAACTCTCTCTAATTGGACTTTCATTCTTTTTACAACTTTTAAACTCTCATATAACTCTCTCTCTGTATCTCATACTCATCTCTCATACCTCACACGTTTTAAACCCACACTCTCTCTCCTCTGATATAACTTTCTCTGGACTTTGATACATGAAGTCTATTTAACATAAAAATGCCAAAAAATAATGTATAGTATAAAAAAATTAACTAATTATCACCATTGTAAAAAAAATCAGTTATTCACTAACAATCTATTAAATTTATTCAACAAGCAATATTTTAAACATTATCACTAAAATATTAGCATAGTAAAAATATTAAACTGAAATTTAAGAGGTAAACATATTAAAAAAATAAACATTTTTCGTATAAAAAGTAAAGTCAAATAAAGATCAATGAAAAGAATTTTCACTAGCAAAAATTCATAATAAAATAAAGGTCATCTGAAGAAAGTCTTATTATAATAAAAATACTAAATAATTGAAATAAAAAAATTATAGGATGAGTACAGGTAAAAAATATGTGTATAATTTTTAGAATATATAAATATAAATATACATATCATATTTTTTAAAAAAAATTATGGGTCCACCCTCACCCCTATGTAGCTCTGCACACGTATGTCATCTTATATATATCTATCGATCTATATATATATTTATGTGATCATAATTGAATGTTTATTCCTTTGACATCTCTCTATCTCTCTCCTATCTCTCATATTTTAAACACACACTTTCATCTCTCATATAATTCTTTCTCTTTATCTATCTCACATTCACACACACACTATCCTAAATGCATATAATAATAAAGTAATAAGAGTTAGAGAGTTTGGTTTCAACGGTTATATATGTCTAATATTAATAAAATATATCTAATACTCATTAAAAGTTTAATAACAAGAATTCTCTAAAAAATAATTTAAACACATACTCTCTTATATCTTATATAACTCTCTCTCTCTCTCTATAAATATGTATATATCATATTCTTATCTCTCATAAGTTTATTTCATGTCTCATATAACTCTCTTTCTCTATCTCATATTCACTCTATATATCTGCCAACACACCCGCCAACATCGACTCCAACTCAAAAAAAAAAGATATTTTTTAGATATAATGATTAAATATATAAATTGTGTATATGTTGATATTTTTTAGGGGTCGTGTTTTTAGAAAAAAATTGTCAAATTTTTTTAGAAAATATTATTTTCAAATTGATTTTGAATTGTGTTACTAAAAAAAATAATAAAAAATAAAGTATTGTTTGAGGTTTTTTGAGTTATTTGGTGCCTTCAGACACGAGTTATTACTAATTTTATTATATAGATGTTGACAACCCTATTGATACAATATCATCTTCAATGCCTAACAATGGATATATTTATCTTATCTCTTCATTTACAATCACAATAATTTGATAAAAAATTACTGATGCACAAAGTAAAACACAAGAAAGACAAAAATAAAATAAATCTATAAATTTTACTACTTGGTAACTCGAATGAAATAATCATAAAAAATGAGTTCATTGAATGTTTATAGTTATGAAGAGAATACAAACAATTTAAGTATGAGAAATATGAGATAATATCTAATGTAGCTATATAATTAAAAAAAAAATTATGTATTTTATCAAATGTTTCAACAAAAATTTTCACGTGCAACACACGTCATGCATTGCTAATATATTCAAATGAGTTAAGTGAATTATCCCTTAATTTATGTTATATAAATATTACCTCTATTTTTTACGAATATAATAATTTTTAGTTTTATTTTTTTATAACTTTTATTTTTTATTTATCTTAAGATCCTTATTTCTACCTTACGCAATGCAATACTCTCTCGTGCCATATTCCCCCCCCCCCAAAAAAAAAAATTGAAGCTTTTAATATCATTCACCACAGTGTTTCAACACTAAACTAGACATCTCTAGTGCCAAATAATAAAGAAGCTGTATGACCATGTATTATTTTCCCCTATTCATAAAGGACCCGCTCGTCCTAAATTTTTATATTTGAACTTGTGATATATCCATCGAATATTATTATCACAAAATTAAATTCTCAATTTATAAAAATATAACAACGGTTAAAATTGATAAAATTTTCATCTATTTTAATCGAACAGTATAAAATTTATACCATAATATTTTTTTTTTGGCTAAAAATTATCATCTGCGTCACACAACTTCAAATATCAAATAACTCGCAAATCCACACATACTTCTTTCTTCTCTCTCACCAACATTTCTCTTATTTTATCTCTTTTCACTTTAGTTTTAAATTACATAATAAAAAATAAATTACTATTTGAAATATAGATGTAAGACCAACGCTCAAGTTTTGATATCTTTTAGGTACATAAGTTATTGCTAATCTATTGAATATTACAATTAAAAAATTAAATTCTTAATTTATAAAAGCACAATAACAATCAAAATTAATCTAATTTTTAATTTTTTTGATCCAATAATATAAAATGGGAAATAGTATGTATACCAAATTTACATTCTAAATGAAGGAACCGTTGGATTAGTGGATCCTATCAACTTTTTTAAATAGGATCCACTAATCTAATGATGCCCCTTAATTTAAAATGTAAATTTAAATTATAAATTTGAGATATATAGTATTGCTCGTATAAAATTCATCCTAATATTTTTTTCCCCACAAAAAGCATCAAAAACAAACATCATTGCATTGTATAAATTGCATTGATTTCAAACTAAAAGTGACCGTTACGAAAAAAGTTCGACCTTCCTTCGCAAAGACCTTATCTTCAAACTTTAAATTCCAAGAGGACCGTTGCCAAACATTTGTATATCAAAGGATAAAAGGAATTTCTTCATCTCTCTCTCTCTCCTCTCTTCTCTAAATTGCAGTCTTGAAGAATTACAAGTGAATCAATGGCGCTGAGACCCCTTGACAATGCTCTACCAACAATCACAACGGCAAGAACCAAAAAGCAAGCCAAAGTTGCGGTCTCCATCCAAAATCAATCCGATCTTGCTGTCAATGACGAAAACAGAGCCCCAATGCCACCTGCTAATGGAGAGGCCATAATCGACTATGTCTCTTCCGACAATCTCAAATCCTTACCAGACCCTGAAACCAAAATTCAAGTCTCTCTCTCTCTCTCTCTCCCTGTGTTTATGGTCTCATTTTTTTTTCTCTTTGGAATTTGAAGTTTAATGTTTTTTAGAATACCCATTTGTGGCTTGACTCTGAAGTTTTGCGTTCTCTTGATTTTTGAGAATTTCAGAGCCTGGTGGAAGGCTTAGAATCGAAAGATTGGTTGAAGGTCTGCGACTCACTGAACAATGCCAGGCGTTTTGCACTATATCACTCCTCTCTTTTGCTCCCCAATTTGTAAGACATTTCTCTCTTGTTTTTAGTTTATATAGTTTTTGAAATTGTGTTGAGAAATGAGACTGTACTAATGCATGTTCATGCACACAGAGAGAAGATTATGTTGGTGCTGGTGAAGGCAATGAAGAACCCTAGAAGTGCCTTGTGCAAGACCTCCATCATGGCTTCATCTGATATCTTCAAGGCCTTTGGAGATAAGTTGCTCGAGTTCACAAATTCTGATGCATTTGACCAAATGGTATGCACTCATATGTCATTTTTTTTTTTTTGTTATAGTAGCCGTTTTGTAACACTTCGAACTCTCATTGTAAGATATTGTCATCTTTCAGTTGAGTTTTAAAATGTGTTCTACAATGAATATTCAAAGCTCTTAATTATGTATCACTCTGCATAAACTTTTCCGGGTGTCGGATCTGAGTCACGACGATGGGTTTAGTGATGAGAATTTTGGTATGATGATCAATGGGGGATTGTTGTTTGATGGGTTGTGATTGTTGTTTGGTGGTTCCACAGCTGCTGCAGCTACTGCTGAAAGCTTCTCAGGATAAAAAATTTGTATGTGAAGAAGCAGACAGAGCACTCAACAAAATGGTTGAATTCATGACGCCTCTCCCTTTGCTCCACAAGCTCCGGGCTTATGCTAGCCATGCCAACCCCCGAGTCAGAGCCAAAGCTGCAATTTCAATCTCTCTCTGTGCCTCAAAGATGGTACATGTACTTTGGATTTACTATTCTTCTCCAATAAATGCTAATATATTATATTTTAAGCATGCACCAACAAGATGGTTTCTCATTAGCAAATAATACGAAGGCAGTCACATATCAAATATTAAGTCTATATTCCGAAATCACAAACGAAGTTTTTTATTGTAGTGTCGTCTATCTATCGTTGTAGAAGCTGTTCCTAAGAAAGATTATGGTTCATGACCATGTATTGGCCACGGATCTGATCTTCTATTCTATTGATTTCAATTCTAGGGGCTGCAAGGAATGAAAGAATTTGGGTTAGTTTCATTGATTCAAATGGCCGCAGATTTGTTGAACGATAGGCTTCCTGATGCAAGAGAAGCTGCTCGAAGTATTGTGACATCGATATATGAGGCGTTCACAGAGAATGAAGAAAATGAAGAGCAGAAGCAGGAGTCATGGCAAGACTTTTGCCAATCTAATTTGCAAGCTATTCATGCACAAGCCATAGTTAAACTCATCTCTTCTTGGTAGAGTTCGCGTTAGTGGTAACTATATTAGTATGAGCAAGGTTAGGGGCAGCAGCAGAAGGTAGTGCTCTGCTTAATATAAAGTTCAGATTTCAGTTCATGTAATGCCATGTACTATTAACATGGTTGTATTTGGGGTTTGCATGTTATGGGTGAAGTTTTTCTTCTTCTCTCTCTCTCTGCATGCTATGTACGTGCAGTACAAAATTGGAGCATTTATGCCATTAAACCCTAAACATGATCCAGGAAACTCAATGGCATCTCAGTAACTCCATTCAGCCACCGGGCTTCCACTCGAGTAGACCAGTGTTAATGATTAAATGTTCCAAGCAAGGAAGGAGCAAAATTACTTCAGCACCAACGTAATTAAAAGATGAAGTTATACCTAACTAGTTCTACAAATTGGAAAAATGTAATTTAATCAGAAATACACGTAATCTGTAATCAAAGAAAAAAAATGCAATTATAATTGAATTCCTCGAGCTATTTAAGCCAACTAAGAATCTGTACATTGTTAATCACCTTACAAGTTTGCCTCTCTCCGTACTCCACCAATGCCAGTATTAAGTGGTCAATACAGGAATTCAACCCATTCTTGCCTGAAAATGCTTCATCGGGGAAGGAAGATGATGCAAATAGTGTTCCCAAATTCATCGTGTATTAGCTCCAAAAAAAGCCAATATCCATTTTGAAGTCGCTCCACCTCCTGCTTCAACTTCTTCCAACCAAAGAACGCAAGGTCATCTCAACTTCAGCTAGTGGTTGCCCAGCATAAAGGTTAAGTTGTCCCTTCTTCACAACAAGAACCTTCATAGCATTTGATTTCACTGCCTCATCAAGTTCCTGATAAAGTTTAGGTTTCCAATTCAGTATCAGTGTTGCTCTTCAATAAAAGAAATTCTGTCACTGCTGTACAGGAATGGCATGACAGTATCATTTGACAACAAGGAGTTAGGACATTGTAACAGAAACACTTTGACAGGTACTCATGTTAGTGTCTCCCAAAGCTTCATCTAAGGCGAGTTCACCTAAAATATGAATCAAGTATTCATAAACTAGTCAACCAAAACCTCCATAAGGATCCATTTGAACATCGAGTCCAACTCACCTAACAATGGTACAGACATGCATATAAATAATACCATTTCTTATACAGAGAGCCACAATTTTGGGGTTCTCTAAGGGCAGGTTCAGTTCTTACTTTTATTGATAGAGGTACAACGTCAGAACTAAAATCACCCAGATCTTCGAAGAAGGATTGCAGAATATAACAAAAGTTAGTGGCATCACTACGGTCCTCAAAAGCAAGAGTATGAGATGGGTCACCCTCTGCCTGAGATATGCTTCTTATGGTAAATAGCCCTTTTGATCCTTCACCATCATGACCTCTACACATGAAAATGGCCTGAAACAAAATATGATCGGTAAGAGAAAAAGCAGAATGTATGTCCTAAGCATGAATTATCACAACACCCTTTAACCACTATGACATACAATGGAAATGAATACAATGATACTAGTTGTTAAGCTTTATACTGTTTATTATACTTGTATTTTCGTTTCATACAGCGATGCAATAATTTTCAGATCAATTTGACAACCCAATATGGTCTATAATTAAGAATATCTTCTAAGAAGCTATTAATGCCAAAGGCATCTGATGTCCTTAACAACACTAATTCAGCTCCATTTTTTTCCTTTGCTTTTGCCGTCAGGCATATTCCTGTTACCGTTGAACTGTGGTTAGCATTTCCAGATTGAGGAGTGCTAACGCCGGGTGTCGCACAGAGCTCCATTCTTGATAAGGCTAAGTAGAGTCTTCGCTTTGTTTATAATGAAAAGGAAAGAGAAGGTCTTCGTGACATTTTGGGGAGGACTTTCTTGATCGCCTCATTCTTCAAACATGGGTTAAGATGTGGCTAAAGTCCCTCCGATGCTACGCTGAGGTTAGCCTAAATTACGAACTGTCGCTCGAGCCAGAAAGAATGGGCTCACTTTCGCTATTGACACTCTGGTTGTATTTCATTTGTTTTATACGCCATTGAGACTCTTGTTTTTTCAAGATTCCAATGATATTCAATTTATTTCTTAAAGTTTCAAACAGAGATTCAAAGCATTTATTTTCTCATTTCAATACGTGATAATTTTGAGCTTTGTACAATACGTTGTTCTTGGAAAAAAGTAGAGAAGAGATTACCATGTGCGGGTAATATCAACATACCAGAACATATGGAAGACCCGACCACCACAAATCAGTCCCCTTGTTTGTTCTATTATCCCCAACTTCATTGGCCGATTGTGTGTTTGCCGCTTTTTTGCTATTCAAACTGCCATTCCTACTCAATACATTATGGTGGTCGGATGTTACAATTTTATTCTGGTTGTCTTTGCTGAAGATTTGAGAATGTGGTCCCTCCAGCTTGCTCGATTCTCCAAATTTCACAGCTTCAACCTGAGGGCTCTCATAGCTTCTTCTCTCCTGCAAGATAACTGTCAATCTAAAAAATAACTGAAAATGCACAAATCCTCAACATAAATATACCTAATGTTTTATTGATTGCACAAAAGACATGCTGCAATACTTATGCAGCAGTTTGAAAAGCCATTAAGGCAGAAAATGGTTGGGTAGAATCAACTCTGCTTACTTTCTGATCTTGGTTTTCAACAATTTTTTAGTGTCGTACCAAACTCATACACCATTGCAAGGCCAAAATATCAAATAAACATTGTGGGACATATGATTATAATTTGTAGTTTCAAGCTATTGCCATAAAGAAGTCTCAAGTGACAATGAGCAAACATAATTACAAAACAATCATGAAAATAGATAGAGGAAACATGGCAGGAACATTTGAACACCATTCAGAATTCACAGATTTATGGCGTTTTAAGAACATTACCAGTTCCAGGTTTCGGTTTTGCAACTCCCATTGCCTTTCTCAGTTTTGAAGTCTCCCTTGCTTTGCCTAATTTCTTTCTTTTAGATTGCATGGATTTAGTCTCTTCCTTCAGTGGTTCCCTTCCACTCTCATCCTCCAAAGACATCGGAACATTTTCTTGCAAACTGCTACCAGGCAGGTCTAATTGCTGTTCTTTGTCCAACAAATCCGCACCGTTATCACCAACACCTCCACTTCTGAAAATTTCATTTTCACTATCCAAACTTGTGTCTTTCGCCTTACTAACACCATGTTTTTCCCGACCCATGAACCCCTTAGGTTTATCACTTGGCTCAATCGATGGACTTCTAAATTTAAACTTCTTCTTAAACATCAATGCCTCATTCACCTCTTTCACTCCCAACCCACCCTCATCCACCCCGTTTTCAACCTTAACCTCTTTGCCCAAGTAACTAACCGATGACACTGATATTCTCTCACGACTCTTGCGCAACATCTTCCTTAAATTAACTAATCGTTTATCAACCTCCTTTTTGATCCCACTTCTAATAAGAACATCATCATCATCACTATCCTCCAAATCATTTGTCTTAGACTCCAATTTTTCCCTCAGTCTTGCTTCCCTCGCCATTTCTCGAATTTCGTCAATTTTCTCCTCGAAGTCACTGTCATACACGTATGCAATTCCACCTTGTTCAAGCCCCAGTTGTTCAGTTTTTCTTTTGTTTGAGAAAAAATTCAATTTGGTTTTTTCAATTCCCACTGACCGCAATTCTAGAACCTTGGCTTTATCTTCACCATCCAAATCTTCACCTTTGGGGTCAGAATTAGCTGACTCAAGTAACCAAACAGCACAAATTGTCTGAAGCATAAAGACACCAACCAACCACAACCCAAATTTAAGGACAGAAGTTCTAGAAAATTTACCAACACTGCCGTCGATAACTCCAACGGACTGGGAAATTTCAGAGCTCCGAAAGTCATGAGTTTCTGGCAGTTTTAGCTCTTCACTGGAGAATTGGTCGAAGGGAAAATTAGGACTTTGTTCAGGTGGAGTTTCACTGGGATTAATTGGGTTTGCTGGGGGTGATTGGGGGAGGGGGTTGGGAGAGGGTTTTATTATGGTTTTGAGGATTTTGGGGCGGAGATAGTTTTTTCTCTTGATGGGTTTTGATGGAAATGGAGTGAGAGTACAAGAAATTAAGAATGGTTTTCTGTGAATGAGAGTGGCTGTAGCAGAAGGATGGAGGAGAAGGAAGGAGGTGGAGGTGGAGGTGCGGTGCGCACCCGCCGTCGCCGAGGAAGGAGGCATATTGCACTCAAAGAGTAAATCGCAGGAGCGCCTGAAATTGGAACAAATATAGTGGAGTACACTGCACATATCACGTCTCAATTAAGTACCGTTTCATAACTCGTGTTTTTGTGTTTTTTTTTTTGTTTTTTATTTCATTTTATTGTAAAAAAAAATGTTTAGAGAAAGTTTTTATTTATTTTTAACTGCTCAATATTAAGAAAAACAATCGTGCACGTTTAAAATGTCCCATATAATGAGATTGATTTTGATCCTCCTTAACAATAGGAAGTGAATTTTCTTACTTTAGTATAAAAAGACCCTCTCTCTTTCCATTTTTTTTTAGATATCTAAATTATCGGTCTCTCTCTCCATCTCTTTCTCTCTCGCTCTTCTTCGATAGATTTTGTTGGGAAATTTTCAAGGGTGGATTTCGGGGTTGGTGGTGGGGTTGGATGTTGGTGGATTTTCGGGGGTGGATAGTGGGTGGTGGTGGCTTTCGAGGATGGATAGTAGGTTTTACTAGGTGGGCAGTTAATTTCGATTGTTGTTGTGGTGGTGGGGGTGGGTTTCAGTGGTTGTGATAGTGGATTTTAGTGGGGGGTGGGTTGTGGATTTCGGTGGTGTGATTGGGAGTGGATTTCGGGGGTTAGGTTGGAGGTGGATTTTCAGTAGTTGTGGTGATGGGTTTCAATGGTAAAGGTGGATTATGGGTTTAAGTGGTGTGGTTGAGAGTGGAATTAGGTGGTGGGTTTTGATGGTGGTTTTGGGTGGTTAGTGGGGTTTGGGTAGTGAATTTTTGGTATAATATTAAATAGGTTTTTTATTTTTATTTTTATAATTTTTTAAATATAAATGACTACCAAATATGTTTAATATTTTTATTTTTTATCACAAAAAAATAAAAATTAGTTCTATTTTTTTTATAAAAAAATAATATAAAAACGTTCCTAAATCTTTTGAATTTTTTTTTTGTATCTCCATTATTCTCTCTTTGCCTTCACTAGACTTTCTAACAGAAAGTTGTGAATTTGACACAAATGAGTGTACGCTCTCAAACTATGACTCTTGTGTCAATTAAGCTTTCAAATTTTTTTTGTGCGTCAATTAAAATTTAAAATTCTCTAATTATATCAATTGAACCTTTTGTCTTTTTGTTCCATATGGTCACATGAATGACACACTCTAACGAAGACAAACATAATAACTCAATTGATACAATTAGAAAGTTCAGGAACTTAATTGACAAAAAAAAAATTCAAGTACTTAATTGACATAAGAATCATAATTTAAGGATCATACGTATAATTTACTCAATATAGTTCTATCACTATCTCTTCCCATTTTCCTTTTTTTTTTTTTTTTTTATATTTGTGGGGTTTTTGTTATAATGCATAGGCATTCACATGAACATATTTGAATAATTATTTTTTTATAAAAATTTTAAATTATATTTTAAATTAAATTGAATAATTAATTTTTATTTTAATTATTGCTAAAATAAGAACTTTTTTTCCTTATTGATTTGAGGACATTTAGAAAGATGCTTTTGAATTGACATCTACTATGAGTAGGGGTGTCAAACGTGTAGGGTTAAACGGTTTCGTGTTAAACGGGTAAAAAATCTCAATACAAACATGACTCGTTTAATAAACAGATAACACATCTCAATACAAACATGACTCGTTTAATAAACAGATAACACGATACGACTCGTTTAACCCATTTAATTTTAAAAAAAATTATATTAACAAATTTTATTACTCTATTTTTTTTTATTATCAATTGCACTTACCTCAAAAAAGAAGATTTTTTAGCCAAATCTCATAAAAATAAAACTTGAAGGCCTACAAAAAAAAAGTAAGAGGCCATTACTTTTTATAGGCAACTCAATCCTTTCTATCTCCCATCATTTTTCAATGTGGGACAAAATAAGACTTGAAGACTTAAAAAAAAAAGTAAGATGTCATTATTTTTTATAGACAACTCAACCCTCTCCATCTCCCCTCATTTTCCAATGTAGGGACAAATAAGACTTGAAAGATTAAAAAAAAAAGAGTAAGAGGTCATTGCTTTTTATAGGCAACTCAACCCTCATCATCTCCCCTCATTTTCCAATGTGGGACAAATAAGATTTATCTTTGTCTTTGAAGTGTTCCTCATCTCATCTTTTTTGTTTTTGAACTACTATTTTACTTTTTTTTTTTTTATTGATTTCTTTACTTCTTTTTTTTTTGTTAATTTTTTTAAATAATTATTAATTTATTATTAGATTAATTTCATTTAAACAGGTAAACGTGTAATAAACAGTTTGACAGGTCTCACCCGAACACGACCTGTTTATTAAACATGTTTGGCGTATCGACCCGTTTATCATCCAAACCCGTTAAGATCTTACTCAAACTCGTTTAATTCGTGTCGATTAATCGTGTCATGTCAAATTTTGACAGCCCTAACCATGAGTATGACCATGATTATCACAAACCAACACCAGCTTGCACCACCAGGATATTTTATGCCCCATTTAAGACCAGAGGATGTCAACGGTTTCATGTGTTAAGAGGTGACTCTTTGTTTGGTATTGTACTTGTAGCAATTTACATTCAATAAAAAAAAGTTAAAATATCTTAATGTACTGTAGAGGAGTTCATTGCCATTAGACTTAAATTTTTGTATTGGGTCTTGGATCGTTTTTTTTTTTTTTTGGGGGGGGGGAAGGGGAGAGGGGGAAATAGGCTTGAACCCTTGACCTCAAGAAGACAAAACATTTACAAAATAAGGAATATACTCCTATCTCTGAACAAATAATATCATAGCCGATGGATAACAATTTTTATGCATGGGTGGTGCTTGGATCACTAGCCATCTTAGATCTCATAACTCTAAGAGTAGTTCAAGTGGTAATATAGACGAATTGTAAATTTAGATATCTTTAGTTTAAATCTTAACAACTCTTTAAAATCAGGTCATGAGGAATTTATCTCTAATGAATATCCTAATCCCGACGTAAATAACTTACTTTTGACCGGACCAAAGAAAAATTAGTCAAGGTGCATATATGCTCGTCCAAGCACTCTCACCGTTGAACTAAAAAACAAGAAAACGAGATGAGCAACTTGGGAAGGGGGTTTAATATATCTCAAGATGCCATGATTCATTGTCAGATAGATTAGAGTTCCTCACCTCACTATCTGTTAGGGGTGTAATTTGAGTGGGCTAACTTGAATTCAACCTGAGCCTAACTCGAAAAAAAAGGTTTGAGTTAGAATTTTTAATACTTCTGCTAGGCCTGGGCAAAAAAATCTCAATCCGAATTAAATTCGAGCAAGCCTCGAGTTGAGGTCACGAATTGTCGAGTTCAACCCGAATATTAAAATCGGGTTAAACTCGATTATTAAATCAGGTTAAACCCAAATATACATAAATATATTTAACTAAAGTTAGTATTTATTTTCACTTTTCATAGTCCAGACTTTCACTTAACTTTAAGTCTTCATCTCTGCGCCTCCATCACTTTCAGATCCCTCACACACTCATCACTCGTTTCTCATCTGGTCTCAGACTCTTAGTCTTCTCCTCTCACTCGTCTAAGTCTCGTCTCAAACTTTCAACCTCCCAATCTCACTCGTCACTTCTCTCTCTTTTATCATCCCAAATTAAGTAACTTGAATCCAACCCAATTTTTAATCTGAAATCAACTCGAATTAAGTAATTCGAATTCAACTCGATTCCACCTGAATTAAACTTAGACAATACTCAAGTTAAAGTCGGGTTAGGGTTAGGATGAGGGTTAAATATTATATATCTAGGATTGTGTTAGAGTTGACCTCTCAACCCGCTCGAAATTGCACCTCAAGTATCTGTATAACCACATATTGTAAAACCCGGGTAAATTTGAACTTTTTACAAAAAATGGCAAAACAATAATTTGTCACTACGGTACGGGTTGTAAACCTAAAAGCTTATAGATCTTGATGACGAAACGGACCTCACCGTTGAATTCGTCTCCCAAAATTTAGTTACCTAGATAAATTCCGTCGAATTTCGAGATAATCAAATTTTTTACGTTTTACGAGACGGTTGGATCTCAGGTGACCCAAAAACAAATTTTTTAATAAAATTTTAAATTTTGGAAAATAATTTGAATAAATTTGAAATAAAAATATTTGAGCTTGAACCGGAGCGAAAATTAATCATTTCGGGACAAAAACGGACCCGAACAAGTGGGGGACATGTGGCGCGACTCGGACCAAGTCTTTAAAATTATAAATAAGGGTTTAAAATCTGATTTTTTTTCCAGATCTTTGTCTGCTGAAAACCAGTGGGTATCGTTGGAGCTGAAGGAGAGAAAGAAAAAGAGAAAATTCAATCTTCTTTCTCAGATTTACGGACTTCCGTCGGTAGGAATTCGTCGGACCAAGAATTAAACTTTATCTACGCAACGAGGGCTATGCAACCACACCAAAAACAAGGGATTTCACCAAAGATCCAAAGGGGATACTTTGGAGAAATCAAGTTTTGAGGCTTGTATTGGTGTTCTTGAAGGTTCCACCTTCATTTCTACGCTCCAAGAGGTAGAGTTCTTCCTACTTTGATTTTATTTCTACCTTATGGGCTGATTTAAAGGGCTGAAATTGTGGGTTGTTAAGGGGCTGAAATTGTGACTGTTTTGGATTGAAATTGTGGACTGTTTTATGACTTGTCTAAGGGCTATTTTATGCCTTGTTTATGGGCTATTTTGTGGCCTGTTTTGGGGCTGCTATGTGACCTGTTTAGGGGCTATGTTTGTAGCCTGTTTTGGGGCCGTTATGTGACTTGTTTAGGGGCTGTTATGTGGGCTATTTTGTGGGCTATTTTGTGGGCATGTTATATGTCTACATTATACCTTGAGAATTAAGAGTGTTATTGTTTGATTATGTAATGACATGCTTGGTTGTTGTTGTTAGATAAAATGTTGATATATGTGTATTAATATATTGACAATGTGATGAGTTTTTAGAGGTTATATGCGTACGATATAA